TTTCCTCGATGAGGAAGAAATACGTTGATGGAGTGTTTAACATGTCTGGTTTGTGAATAAAGTGTGGTACAATCATAGTACAAGCTTAATTACATTATATACAATACCCACCACCATAACGGCTTTGACTGCTCATGAGACTGACCCTTATTTCCCTTGTACGCTGGCTGTTGAGTTGATTAAATCCTCTCTGTTTTGGAAAATGTTTTAACACTGTTCCGAATGCTAATCTACGGATAATGAGTGCCGCAAGTTCATAAGCTTAACAGGCCTCTCCCTACATCATTGTGTAGTGTAAAGGTGCATTGCATTTGCGCGCGAACGCGCGCGTGTGTTTATGTGTGTGTGTGCGTGTGTGTGTGTGTGTGTGTGCGTGCGTGTGTGTGTGTGTGTGTGTGTGTGTGTGTGTGTGTGTGTGTGTGTGTGTGTGTGTGTGTGTGTGTGTGTGTGTGATAGTAAGTATTTGCATGCGAGCGTCCGTGCATGCGTGAGCGCACTTGTCTCTGTGTGCTAGTGTACGTACCTACAGTATTTTTTGTAGCAAAAATGTCTCTTGCCACGGTTCCTTACCTGCTTATACTGCTGCCTTACCTCGTCCTCAAATCTTTTTACATCTTTGTAACCCACTGCGGGCCAGGTGTACCTTTGCACTGACGTTACAGTGCTGTTATAACAGCATATCGCAGTGTCATGCCATAGAGGTCGTTCAGGGTGCCAGATAATAGCCACCCTCATACAGGGTCTCGTACGTTACTGTAGAGTGCCAAGTGCGTGTCACTATATGTTGGCAGATGTACAATGTGGCGCGCGGGAGGGGTGAGTGAGGCAAGGGCTGGGTTGAGTAGCGAAGTAGGTGGAGCTCCCTAGAGACAGAGGACGGAGGGGGGAAAGGCACTGAGAGAGGCGGCGGAGAGATTAAAGCATACCAGGAATTAAGGAAAGGAGAAAGAAAAATGATTGAATCGTATAAGGTGATGGAAACGGAGTAGAGTTGAGGTCAGAAGATGTAGGAAGGTGCGAGCAAGTGCGGGAAGGGGAGCGGTGTCGGCGAGTTTGCGAGGGTAAGATCCCCCCGCCCGGCTCCCCAGCTATTTAGGGGGACGCCCGAGGGGAGCATGCTATCACTCTATCTTTTTTCATTTTAAGGTAGCTAGCTACCCTAAGCTTGCCCCTCCTCCTTACCCGAAGGAGTCCCCCCCCCTCCTCCTCCTCGTATTGTTCATTAACGGCAGCATACAAACGGCGACCTGTGTTGTAGCGGGGAAGGGGGGAGGAGTAGTAGGGGAGGGTTAGAAGCTGGGTGTTTGTGGCGAAGAAGGAAGTGGGAGTCTCCAAGGGAAGGGTTTAGCTGGGCATCTGATCATACATTAGGGCTAGGGCCTCTGCGCGGAAGCAAAGGATGAAGTATGCGAAGAATTGATGACGTTTACTTTATGCCGCAGCTGTCTTGCTGGGAGAAGATTGTACCTCACAGAACTGGGATTGCGAAGAGCAGGTCAAGTTCGAAGCATAAGCTAACAATTGTTGTCGTGCAGCTGAAGGCCGGTATCGGTATCGCCGGTACTTAGTTAACGGAATTGGAATCCGACCGAGTAATTCGTAATCTTCGGCGAGGAATAAACGAAACTGTTTAAAAGAAGAATTTTGCAGTCAGATTATTAACTTCTAATCCCCCTGGAAGAGTAAGCGATGTTTTGCAGCGCTTCTGACGCATAATGATCGGCTATCATACCCTTTGTGAGAGCGTTTGACTTATTTAAAGCTCAGCCACAAATGAGGAGCGCTTGGGACTGGTATAACAGTACGGTGCGGTTCCTAGGATTTTGGGAACAATATGCATCGAAAATCGAGGTGTTTGGGCCATGGAGGAGCGGGCACAAAGGGAGGCGGAGAGAATATTGTAGTATCTTGAAATATTTAATCGAGAATATTTGTCAATATACTCGGAAGTTGTTTTACTAAACGACCATGAGAGAAATTTCACCCTTAGGGAAGTATAGGTCTTTTTGAGTTACCTGAAACCACTAACACTAATACATTGTTTGATGTTGTATCATGGTCGCTACAAAACGCGATAATCGAAGTTTTTTCTTACATGCAGTGATTTGAAAAAAAAGTTATTTCCCTTATTCCACATAAAAAGTCAACAGAAAACTATTAAAGTACTTAAAATTGTTTGCATACACACCACTTTGAGATATATTTCTCAGATTCAGACAAAACATTTTTTTTCTTTTTCTTATTACATCCATTGTTCATAGTCTTTCCTTTGATATTTCTGAGCCTGTAAGGTTACATCATAGAGGTACAGAGATTCACCCCACCGCATATGACTCGAGGTCTGAGTTCTTTGCATGTCGTTTCAGCGACCGCCACTATTGACTTCACATTTTACCTTGCATTTGATGTAATAAAAAAGGCATAGAAACAATTTATGCACCTTTATAAATGAATTTTATGACGCGAAACATACAATACCAGTCGTAATTAATGAAAAAATAAAACCCGATCTGAGGCGTATGTGAAATATATTTGAAAAGTATCGCGTGCTCTGACCGGAGTATATCACTTTGTATCAGTTTGTATCAACCTAGAGGCATACAAAGCAAAGGTATGTTTCAGCAGGTACTAATCATGTCCGCGTAGAGGTTAAACATATTGGAGAATGTATCTAAGGGTGTCAAAGTGTTTGGGATTTTGGAGATTTTGGCATTATGATAAAGCCATACGTCATAAGCCATATTTTGTGAAAATAATTCCAGTCATAGATACCGATATATATTTCGTAAATCCTCTCCTGGCCTGGCGTTTTTCCTTCCACTGGCGGCGCGGCCGCGTTTTTGGCAGTGCATTTGCTCGCCGATTGCTTTGAGATCGTTCTTGTTCCGCACAGGTCGCGAAGAGCAAGTGGCGGCTCATGCCTCCTCGTCCACCCCCGCCGCCTTTAAGCAACACAACCTTAATCCACTCCACCATTGTTCCCGCTACTCCACTTCTTTTAGAGTCTCCACTTCACCGCATCCTTGCGACCAACCACACCCTGCTTCTCGCCCAGGCGTTCCTCTCCTGTATTCCTCCCTCCCTCCCTTCTTCCCGCGGCCTCGCCTTCTCTGGTTGTTTTACCCATACCCCTCCTACTGTTACTACTGCTGCTCTTACTACTACTGCAATGATTGCTGTTACTACTACAACTACTTTTCCTACTACCACTACCACCACCACCATCCCCCCCCACCAAAACCACCACCACCACCACCACCACCACCACCACCACCACCACCACCACCACCACCACCACCACCACCACCACCACCACCACCACTACCACTGCTACTACTACTACAATCGCAACCACTGCTACTGCCACTTCTACTACTACAACTACTACTACTATTTCTACTACTACTACGGTTTCTACTGGTACTACTATTGCTATTGCTATTGCAACAACAGCGATTTCTACTACTCCCCTCCTCCTTCCGCCACCACCCCCACCCCCGCCACTCCTCCTCTTCCTCCCCTCCCCCTCCTCCTCCTCCCCCTCCCCTCCCCCATTGTCCTCCTCCCCCCTCCTCCTCCTTCTCCTCCCCTCCTCCCCCTCCTCCTCCTCCTCCTCCCCCCCTTTCCCTCCTTCTCCTCCTCTTCCTCCTCCTCCAACCCCTTTCACTCCTCCTCCTCCTCCTCCCCCCCCCTCTTCCTCCCCCCTCTTCCTCCTCCCCCCCTCTCCTCCTCCTCCTCCCCCCTCCTCCTTCTCCTCCTCCTCCTCCTCCTCCTCCTCCTCCTCCTCCTCTTCCTCCCCCCTCCCCCTCCCCTCCCCTTTCCCTCCTCCTCGCCCCTCCTCCTCCTCCTCCTCCTCCTTCCTCCTCCTCCCCTCTCCTCTTCCCCCCCCTCCTCCTCCTCCTCCCCCTCCTTCTCCTCCCCTCCCCCCCTCCTCCTCCTCCTCCTTCCTCCTCCATCCCCTCACCTCTTCCCCCTCCTCTTCCTCCTCCCCCCTCCTCCTCCTCCTTCCACCTTCCTCCCCTCTCCTCTTCCCCCTCCTCCTCCTCCTCCTCCCCCTCCTTCTCCTCCCCTCCTCCTCCTCCTCCCCCTCCTTCTCCTCCCCTCCTCCTCCCCCTCCTTCTCCTCCTCCTCCTCCTCCTCCTCCTCCTCACCCTCCACCTCCCTCTCCACCTCCCTCTCCCCCTCCTCCTCCTTTTCCTCCTCTTCCTCCTCCCCTTCCTCCTCTTGTTCCTCCCCCTCCTCCTCCTCCTCCTTTACCTCCTTTTCTTCCTTCCCCTCCTCCTCCTCCTCCTCCTCCTCCTCCTCCTCCTCCTCCCCTTTCCCTCCTCCTCTCCTCCTCATCATCATCATCATCACCCCCACCTCCTCTCCACCTCCCTCTCCCCCTCCCCTCCCCCCGCCCCCTCCTCCTCTTTTCCTCTCTTCCCCTCCCCCCTCCTCCTCTTGTTGCCTCCCCCTCCTCCTCCTCTCATCATCATCATCATCATCACCCTCCCCCTCCCTCTCCACCTCCCTCTCCCCCCTCCCCCCCTCCTTTTTCCCCTCCTCTTCCTCCGCCCCCTCCTCCTCCTTGTTCCTCCCCCCTCCCCTTTTCGTCCTTCCCTCCTCTCCTCCTCCCTCCTCCTCTACCTCCTCCTTTTCCTTCCTTCCCCTCCTCCCCCCTCCTCCTCCTCCTTCCTCCCTCCTCCTCCTTGTTCCTCTCCCCCCTCCCCCTCCTTTTGCTTCTTTCCCCTCCTCCTCCCCCTCCTCCTCCTCCTCTACCTCCTCCCCCTCCTCCTCCTCCTCTAACCCTCCTCCCCCTCCTCCTCCTCCATCCCCTCCTCCTCCTCCTCTCCTCCTCCAACCCCTTTCACTCCTCCTCCTCCTCCTCCTCCCCCCCTCTCCTCCTCCTCCCTCCCCCTCCTTCTCCTCCTCCTCCTCCTCTTCCTCCCCCCCTCCCCCTCCCCTCCCCTTTCCCTCCTCCTCGCCCCTCCTCCTCCTCCTCCTCCTCCTTCTTCCTTCCTCCTCCTCCCTCTCCTCTTCCCCCTCCTCCTCCTCCTCCTCCTCCCCCTCCTTCTCCTCCCCCTCCCCCCTCCTCCTCCTCCTCCTCCTTCCTCCTCCTCCCCTCTCCTCTTCCCCCTCCTCCTCCTCTCCTCTTCCCCCTCCTCCTCCTCCTCCCCCTCCTTCTCCTCCCCTCCTCCTCCCCCTCCTTCTCCTCCCCTCCTCCTCCTCCTCCCCCTCCCCCTCCTTCTCCTCCCCTCCTCCTCCTCCTCATCATCATCATCATCATCACCCTCCACCTCCCTCTCCACCTCCCTCTCCCCCTCCCCCTCCCCCTCCTCCTCCTTTTCCTCCTCTTCCTCCTCCCCCTCCTCCTCTTGTTCCTCCCCCTCCTCCTCCTCATCATCATCATCATCATCATCACCCTCCACCTCCCTCTCCACCTCCCTCTCCCCCTCCCCCTCCACCTCCTTTTCCTCCTCTTCCTCCTCCCCCTCCTCCTCTTGTTCCTCCCCCTCCTCCTTTTCTTCCTTCCCCTCCTCCTCCTCCTCCTCCTCCTCTACCTCCTCCTTTTCTTCCTTTCCCTCCTCCCCCCCTCCTCCTCCTCCTCCTCCCTCCTCCCCTTGTTCCTCCCCCTCCTCCTTTTCTTCTTTCCCCTCCTCCTCCCCCTCCTCCTCCTCCTCTACCTCCTCCCCCTCCTCCTCCTCCTCTACCTCCTCCCCCTCCTCCTCCTCCTCCTCCTCCTCCTCCTCCTCCTCCTCCTCCTCCTCCAAGTCCGGGCCAGCCGTGTGGTCGCGCCGCCCGCCGCCACCTGACTCAGTCCAAGTGTGGCCGTGAGCGGCGGCGGTGGTGTGCTGGCTGCTCGGCGGCGCCGTGCTTTCGCTCCCCTCGGTCAGTGCGCGGCCGCTCGGCTCAAGGCGTGAGCGCGGATACTGTGTGTGTGTGCTCTTGGAAAACGCAACAGCAGGCGCTCTATAACGCTTCAGTGGCAAATATGCGCCAAGAAACTTCCGCTGAATCAATTTGCAGTGATCTAA